ATCGAGTAACGTTTCCAGAGGGGTCCATAATTCCGCTAGAGATCAGAAGTAGCTGCAGAACGCGCTAATATAGCTTACCTTCAGAGTCGATTAACGAACAACTGCCTGTTGATTTACAGATTCTGGGAAAGTTGAAATCAGTGAACTTAAAGACCCATCGGTAAGTGACAATGCGATTGGTCGATGTAGGCCTTTCGTGATAGAACATGCAGTTTTTGACAAGTCTTGCAGATAATTTAGAAAAGGTGTGCGCTTTGCCATCTTATCAGCAGATGTGAAAATTTATCGCGTTCGGTTATATTTTGCATTCTCGATGAAGAAGCAAATATGTCGTAATTGCTTATAACTATTAGAGAATATATTGGCAAGATCTACCCATTCGACGCATTATAAAGCAAATTTCAACGTGTCCACTGACACAACTTCCAACTTCTCTACTATAAAGATCAAGGAGGAAGACGCAGTTAAGTTGGGCTAGGCCGCAGCGTGTACTTCAAGCCCATGACGTACGAAAGACTGTTCTTCAAACATTTGAACCATGTAGGTCATTCTCACATACGACCTCTGATTGTTAAAATATAGCTGGTTGATCCACTAAGTAACATATCTTAGCAACACTAGACGAAAATGGATTCACCTGTATTCGCTAAGTAGTGACATTTGCAATAGAAAATCAGAATCCTCTTCTTTTTTGGATTCTAAATAATTATAAGTTTTACAGACATTTGCGCAAATTTATGTATGCGCGTGTGTAGACTCGCTATTTGATTTCTTCCAATGTGTTACTATTAATCCTAGCTATGACTTCTAAAGCTAAACTATTAACGCAAAGTTATTTTAGAATTTACCAGGATCAGGCTATTTGGCACAGTTTATGGTGGCAGATTTTATTACTTTGATACCAATTTACTCTGTTTTCAGTCAGCATTGCTGGCCTCCTATATGACGTTTCGAAAATATCGGAGGCGATTCGCTAGCCTCATCAATTGCATCTTTATTTAGCTGGGAACTCTGTCCTTGAATTCTATGCTTCCAATTTGAGATATGGCCTCAGGGCCATGCAAATAGTTTCCCAGCTATCCTTCACGTAACCAACATGCATTCTTCTATGCTTTATATTGCTGAGAATTTAGAGAGGAATCGAAACTTTACAATATCGCATGGTGGACGATAAATTTAGCTCATTTTAATTTGAAATGTGTTAATGCGGATAGGAAATCCAGATGCAAATCATCGATGTGCTGTAATGCTTGCAGTGTCCACCTTGCGCTTTGTTCTAATTTTGCTGGTACATAAGGCTAAGCCATTATACTCCAGCGAAGGACACGGCACTTGAACCACGTCGCCAGTTCCTAAACCCTTCTTTGCAGTGGCGAAATACGTATTGCCATTGTGGACGAGTGCCGCAAATCCGCTAGCATGAAACCTAGAAATACTGCTAAACGGAATCCCAATCTGTGAGAAGTCCGCTGACATCAACATTAGCCTAAATATCCCAAAAACAGTTGCACTGATCCTACTGCAAGCTGATACAGTCTTTACTTCTTAAGGTAAAAAATACTCTCTTAAAAGGTAGAAAATGCGGACCCCTTACAGCTTAAATTTTAAGCATTAAAGGATAAAGACATTTTCCAAAATTTGCGAATAAAGCAACAACAAGTTGTAGATTCTACATATATCATTGAATCAGAGATATGTTTTTTCTGCCCCTTACGTTGCAGTTTACATTCCTCCAAATAATATCAAATTAGGTGTGTCCATAAGAGAAAACCGAATCTGACGCGTTTACTCTTTTAGAGAACTTCTGCACTTTAGGGGAGTTTGCAGTTTAACGGCTTTTCTACATGAATGATTTGATGAGTAGATGATCTGGTAAATCGACAAATTTGCCTTTTGGCTGCATAAAGCCCTTGATTGACATGTATTTTTTCGATTAAGGGTGGCATCCCCTGACCAGCTTCTGCTAATTAAGAGTGCCCAATATCAGCTAATAGGCACTGACACTTGATGTCACCAAACTCGCTAATTCGCAATGCCTTCCAATAGCATTTCTGTCAGTAGTGTCTAATCGCATGCCTCCACGCGCAACGCTGCGAGTTGTTATACGCGCTCAGTACTCCGATGAAACATTCCAATTGTTTCCAAATATGATAAATCTACCAATACATCTATCAGCTTTAATATGTCAGCTCAGGAGAAGGTAATAGTAATGCTAGTGTTCTTTCCATGTATTTAGCTGGTGTGGCACTTTACATAAAATTTGGGCGGTTTCGTTGGAACTTATGTGGTAAAGATTTCAATATCAGCAAGGTTCGTCACATCCACACTACTCCAATTTGTAGCAAAGTGAGGTAGTAAAAGCTAAGTTAGAATAAAAGAAATTAGTTGGAACTGGATAAAAGCATGAGTGCAGTTTTTGGTGCCTAAAATGATTATATATCAGACACCACAAGCGTTTGGGTTTTACAAAGCGTTCAAAGTTTTGCATGCATCAAACACATACTCATTCCATGTATAGCTTGTCCTAGGGCATTTTTTAGGTTCCTTTGAGGGCAAATCCTTCAAGATAAATGTGACATGCTCCGACAGCTGGTCACGTGATCGCCTTCCCCCCAAAAAAACCAAAAATACAATGGCTAATAATTATTCAATCTTATGTATTTGTCGCAATTGATACAGCATATCTAATGAATGTTCGTATTTTTTGTACAATTCAACCATAAGTTCCAGATCGCCCTTCATATTCCACCAGTCACGCTGTCTCATAGGCCAATTATAATCGAATTTGTCGAATGCCTCTATTTCCTCAGGTGTCCAATGCCTCCTGTGTAGAATATCCTCGGTATATTTGACGGGATCGTTATTCATGCTGTTGCGATGAATGTTAAATTTGTGCTCATATTCTGTGAAAATGTGTTTTTTCATAGTCTCGTAGTTACGTCTGGTCATGGTCACCTCGTATTCCAACCTACGCAAACGAGCTTTCACAGCTGTTGGTGGATGTTTTGGTATTTTTGAAGGATGAACATATTCGGAGGTGGATGCTTGTAAGTTCTCCATTGGAATGTCGTCTCCAACTTTAGCTCTTGGACCTATTGAAAGAAGAATTAGACAACGTCAGACATGGATCTCCTTCCCATCTGTGTGCCTACCCAATAAATCACAGTGGGCCTTCGCGTAAGGAGTCCATCCAATGGCTGGAAGACATGTTTTCAGCCAATGAAATCGCCGTTGTCGATTTCGCCATCACGCTTCGCATCATAATGAATTGCGAAGACGAGAAGATCAACACCCTGGTGTTGTACGGCCCGACGAATACGGGCAAGTCTCTTATTTGTAAGCTGACCACAACCTTCCTGGAGCACGGCTGTGTCACGCGCAGGCAGGAGGCGTCAGCCTTCGCGTATGAGAACCTTCTTAACAGGGAGGTTGCTTTAATGGAGGAGCCCAGGATCTGCGCTGCCAACCAGCAGGATCTCAAGCAGATCCTAGGAGGCGAGCCCTTCGAGGTCTCAGTGAAATACCAAAACCCAGACCTGCTTGAGCGCTTGCCGGTCATTGTGACCACAAACGAGCCTCTGGGCGTTCGCCTCTCCGACGTCGATGCCGCCGCCATAGAGGGTAGATGCAAAATCTACACTCTAGACAAGCAAATTTGTAACGCTAACATCGACGGAACGGTTCCAGCACCTCCCCAGCAAACTCTGCGCCTGTGACATGGCTCATCTGCTACTGCCCATTTATGAATTGTTGGCCTTGTAAATGTTTGTTTAAATGTAATCGCAATAAAAAGGTATATAAGGGGGCAAAGGACTTGCTTTTCACATTATGCCGGTGGTACAGCTG